TTCTTTATTGCCCTCTGAACAAGCAAGAACATGTAGCAATCTGTGATCTTGATATTTGTGCATTACATAATTTTTAATAGATGGTAGGGGGTACAGCTGAATCCTCAATTTATGGGAATTGACCTCAAGTGTAATTCACTTTTCAATTTTCTCCACTTTTTTTCTGTTTCATAGGATTAGAACTTCTGTCATTACTTTGCAAAAATAGATTGATTATTTGTATGTTATAGTCTGCTAGTTTGGTCTTAAATATCTATGTGTCTATGGTAATGATGAATATATTCCTTTTACTGGTGATGGAATCATCTCTGTAGATTCTTCTTCGTTGGAGCTGGAATGATGGGATGGCTACTTATCTACCTATCAATTCCTGCAAAAAGTGTTCAAGATGGTTCTTTGAGCCAATCAATGATCCTCTACCAGTTATTCTGTCTGGTAATCTGGCTGTTCAAATGAAGACCCTTTTCCCTTTTTATCTCTAGCATTTTTTTTTTTCTGAGAAATTATCTTACATGTTTTATACCAATGCCAAGTAGACATTTTTTTTTTCATACATCTTTCTTCCAGCTATACATCCTGGACTATTTTGTTCATGAGGAGTACATGACCTCCACGTAAGTGCCATTACCTTTATGCTATACTTACCATTGAATAACCTTCGTTCTTCTTAGTCTATTATGCCACTCATTAGCCTGACTAAATACCAGAGGTGGATAGCCATTCTTGAATTTGGCTCCCGGTAAGGGCGTTGTCCTTCAGATACCAAGATCTGATATCTAATAAACGGCATTGTTCTTCATATTGTTCAGCTTTGCTGCAAGTAGTTATTCAAGTTAGTTCCTAGTATTTTCCAACTTGGTGCTAAATAGTTGTAGTTGACAAGGCATTCATGTAAATCACCCACGATGTTCTAAATAAAACCTTTTGCTTAATTTGTTTTAAAGTGGCACAAACTGACATAAGTCAAGCTACATTTAACAAATGGTCTATTCTCAAAATCAAGTTTGAGTTTGTAAATGTCTGCTTGCCTACTGGTTGATGTTAAATTTGAAATGAGAAGTAGATTCCCTGGTTGAACGATGGTTTTCTATGCAATTACCTCCTTGTGCATTCTGGTCTCTTGTTCCTTGATTGAGTCATATGAGGTTGTTGATTTGGTCATTTCTATATGATAAACTCACTTAATTGATCTATTTATATTTGGTTATGTTTTACAGCTGGGATATAATTGCTGAGAGATTGGGTTTCATGTTGGTGTTTGGAGATCTAGCGTGGATTCCTTTCACGTTTAGCATCCAGGCATGTAACAATGGCTTAGATAGAAAAACTTTATCAGCAATTTGCACCATATTTTGGTCTCTATGAGCTTCATAATCTTGCAATTATAAACTGAACCAGGGAAATTTTGAGACCTATGAAAAATAAAATAGATGTCTTACTTGTTTGTGAAATAATAGGATGGTTCCATTTTCTGCATTGCTCGAAGGCGTATCTTAGAATGCAGGCTCTAGTATTGCCATCATTTCGCAGTCCTTGTTGGGATGACCGTAAGTGACGGCATCATTATGTCTTTAGACATCACATAGTTCATACGGTGGTAATATAGTTTTTTTTTCCCTGTTCTCGGTACATAAGTGCTGCAGTTAGAATCAGATGATGAAAGCTTTTCATGCTTTATGGTATTCCAATAACTTTTGGAAGGAATCTAAATTCATTTTGTATATCATGGAGAAGGTTGAGTGCTGCATTGTTTCTCCTCTAACTTTGTTCTTTTCGAATCACCCTGTTTCTTCCAAGTTAGAGTAAGTGATAAGCTAATAATGTAGCAGTTTCCCCTTTTACTATTGATTCAGTTACTTAAAGCTGCACTCCCACTATGTAATTGATTCAATCATTGAATTAACTATTGAAATGATTCACACACCAGTATTTGCAGTGAGACATACCTTCTCAATGAAGTTTGAGCGATATGTAGTGCTTTCAATCAAGAAAACCATATCTGTTTAGCTACGTCAGGTAAACTGCTTATCTTCACGTTTTCTATAGGGTTGGTGGCTTTTGAATAACAAAGTGGAGCTGACAACAGCTGCTGCAGTAGCAAATTGCTTTGCTTTTCTGATCGGGTAACTTGCTACCTGCGTATAGGATATATTGGCCCAATTACCTGATGTTTACCATGTCTTAATTAGTCTCTTTAAATTGGCAGGTATCTTGTATTTAGAGGAGCCAACAACCAAAAACATACATTCAAAAAGAATCCCAAAGCACTCATATGGGGTAAGCCTCCCAAGGTTACAGGAGGAAAGCTGCTTGCTTCTGGATATTGGTAAGGTTTCCATCTAATCGTCATCCCAGTATTTAATCATTGACATAATTACTGCTATTACTGTTGATCACTCCGGACAAGAACTTTTGAGAAAGAAACTTTCAATGATTTTTATGCAATTAGTCCTTAGATTGCTGCTGGTCGGAGAGGATGTAGGTCTGGTTTTTTAATCTAAATGAGATTATTGGTTTTTATATCATGTTTCTTTTTACAAAGGGGAATTGCAAGGCACTCTAATTACCTTGGAGATTTGTTGCTGGCCTTGTCCTTTAGTTTGTCTTGTGGAATAAGGTAATTTCCCAAATTCTTTGCCTGATCTAATGATAATCGTATGTCATGTAGGCTTATTTAGTAAAACAATTTCCCCTCTGGTTTTCGCAGTTCCCCCATTCCATACTTGTACCCTATTTATCTTTTCATTCTGTTGGTGTGGAGAGAAAGGAGAGATGAGGCCCGCTGTGCAGAGAAGTACAAAGAAATATGGGCAGAATACTGGAAACTTGTTCCATGGAGAATATTTCCATATTTGTATAAGTAATCACAAAATGCTTGCTTGAAACCTATTGTGAACAGGGAAAGATCCAAATTGAATATTGTTTTCTATCTGCTCACTCCCCAATATTGTAATTACCTAATAATAATAAAAATAATAATAATTATAAAGGCTAACCTTTCCTAGCATAGTGACTTCAAGTAAAACTGTTCCCGAATTTCAAATTTTCAATAACCTAAGCATTTGACTTAACAATAAGTGCATAATTTGTTTTAATGGATCCCCGTTCACTAGTTAGTATTTATGAGGTAAGTTCAGCATGCAGGTTCAACCTGCTTTCACACTTTATAGTCGTTTTGATCTTTATCAAGCAAGTAACGAAGATGAAAAATACTATTTCTATGCAGGTATTTGCCGACCATGATTCCAGTCTGAACCCGATTGATGTTCCAAGGGAATGGTTATGGGACCTGCCAAGGCGAATGGTCTACTTTGGAACCTCCATACCTTCAATATTTAAAGGTTAGAATATTTCAATATAAGATGGTGCTGATAAATGGAGCAAGATCAAGCACTGATTCTGTTTATGTTTTTTGTCTATTAGGCTTAACAACAGAAGGAATTCAACAATGCTTCTGGAGAGGTGAGATCAACCATTTTAACTTTGTGTCATGCTTTTTGCATTGATTTGAGAAGTTACTCATAAGTATCCATATTCTTACTTTTTGAGGCACATAAAACATCAAAACCTTGAAATTTTGAGAAACATACCACAGTTCATCATCTCCTCAAAAACTTTGAATTCCTAACTCCAGGGACATCAAGGACGCAGAAATGGCCTTGAGAACTGGATCAACAGCATGTCCATGTTTAACATCTATAGGTAGAAAAGAAAAGAATTATATCATAGCATTAGACTGGCTTTTTATTTCATCCCAAAGATATCATTGTGATTATAGCAGCACCTTTCTTCAGTTAGCTCGACAGAACTTGCCAAGTGCATGCATTCTAAGTTGACTTCAATTCCCCTAGAAAAATTCCTCTAATTTTAAGGAATCAAACCCACTGCAAAGGACTTCTCCAGTGTAAGTACCCCCCCTCCCAAACAAAAAAATGTTAAAAGTAGATAATTTCCTTGTCCTAGATTTCTAATCATTGTAGATAAGACAGAAAGATTTTGAAAAACTGAAAAGAACAACTAAGTACTTTCGAATCACTCACTGCCTCCACTTACTAACATCTAGATTTGAAAACTGTCAAGCAGACACACTTAAGATGTGCCCAATTTCCCTGCCACAGCAATTTTGTTATGGTTTGGCTTAACAGCATCCTCATGCTCCATCAAAACATAACGTCATTGCCTTTTATCCATCAAAATAACACTGGGACTAACATGAATCATGCAATTATAGCCCTCTTCCAGTTTCTGGATCAAAGCGGATTATTAAACTGGCTCAAACAGCCCTAGTCCAATTTCTTGACCGAAATAGAGATTACAGTGGCTCAAAATTCAAACAAAAGATTGGAATTAATAAGTTAATATTGCATCAACCACAAGCTACCCCTTTCAGGAACATTGTAACCTTTATCCTTCTCAAATAACAAATTAAGCCCTTTACATATTTGATATTTCGATGACCTACCAACTCATAGCTTAACAATTAAGAATGACGTCCCCGGATCTACCAACTCATAACTTAGCTTGACAATTAACAATATGAGCAGTAGTTAACTTAAAATCATTTATGCTATCACCAATGCACTCACTGGCTCATCCACTTCTATCATGAAATAATTCCTCTTGGATCCCTTATCATCATCATTATGGAGAACTATTGCATTAGCATGCTCTAGCCTATACAATCTTAAACATAGCCTTCAACAATAGAACACCTGCTTGACAATTAACAATATGAGCAGTAGTTAACTTAAAATCATTTATGCTATCACCAATGCACTCACTGGCTCATCCACTTCTATCATGAAATAATTCCTCTTGGACCCCTTATCATCATCATTATGGAGAACTATTGCATTAGCATGCTCTAGCCTATACAATCTTAAACATAGCCTTTAGCAATAGAACACCTGCCCTATTTTGTTCATATTATTCTGAATCTTTGACCACCAGAAGCAGAAATAAAAAATTCTGTCAAAACTCTTTTCTTTTTTTGATATCCAATACCTGAACAATCTGCAAATGTTCTATCATTTCTGATAGAATTTAAGTCATTTAACGACTTCCCTGTTTTCTCACTACTATTTGACAATAAATTGCAGGATATGTTTGTGTGAGGGGATTTGACCAGAAATCACGAGCACCCCGTCCTCTAATGGCCAGATTGCATTTCTCAGCCAGCAAGTTGGCCAGAGGAAAAGGTAAGGGTGCTGGAGAAGATGAGTCATAAGGTTCCAGACAAGTCAACATTGACTAAATAACCATGTATGAAGAACGATAATGGAATTGCATTTTGCCATACTGATTTGGTTTGTGAGGAAATGTGAAAATCTTTTGTATAACCCATAATGACAAAGGCATGTAAGTTTTGTATACTGTTTAACAAGGTTGTAAATATTCAGTGTCAGGCTCAAATTTTGAGCAATTTTTTAAATCAGCTTCAACAAACTATATCATGAACTAATTGATAAAACTTTTCCTACAAAGAACAAGCTTGAAGCATTTTTTTAACATGCTACATAGCCCAGGCCATCTTCAAGCATCTAAGCATGCACACAAGCACAAATTTTTGTATACTTTAATGAGTAACAAACGTTTGAAAGAAAAATGACAGGAGCTTACTGGACGTTTCACAATGCCAAGGTGGCACGGATTGCGCTGTGGCAAAGACAGAGATGAAGTATAAATTCGGCAAACAATATGAAACTGAGAATTTCACCCTAAAATGACAGAGATGAGTAGGATCTGCAAACAATTAAGCAAGCTGGACGTCAGAACATTAGCCTGGTTATTTCAAGTATTTCTACTTCACGCGGCAATCAAAAACAGACAGTCCATTTGCATAATGATCCAAAATGACAATTCAAATCTCATTAAACATATTCCAGATTTTCAACGATACCAGTTACCTTAAATTCAACCGTCAATTAGAATTTAAATCTGAGAAATCATGCTTTTTTAATGAAGAAATGGAAATAGCATGTAATTATCTTTCTCAATATCAAATATCACAATCATAAAATTTTTTATTCACTCGTGGAAAGAAGATGCTGAATCCTACAGCCAATGACTCGACATTACAAATAAATTTCTCCAATTATAAGTTTACCTAAATAGACCCAAAAAATATCAGTGCCTGACAACATGGACTTAATTGCAAATTCAATAAATTTCCTAAAAAGAAGAGTGAACGAATTAATCCTTTAAACTCCTCTATATCCATAATTGAAAATCGGCAAATCACTGCTAATCGAAAGTCAGAAACAATTCGCTAAATCTGGATAAACTCCTGCTCATAATTATTAAATGTCTCTAACCTTAAATGGAACCTTATCGAACGCCAAAATAATAATAAAAAGGAAAAGAACAATGAAACAAAAAGCAAGAAATCTGCGTCAGATAACCAAACAAAAAAATGAAAAATCAAACAAGCAGATCAACGTGCACAGGAAAATATCAGGAAAAGCTTGATTCTATTCAAAAACTCGACAATGTTAAAAGACTTATAAACATTTTAAACGACAGATTTGATCCAGAAACGAACCTTTTTGAATTTGTAGAATGACGAAAAGATAAGCTGAGGAAGGAAGAGAAGCAGCAGATGGTTCGATAAATCGAGTTTGAGAAAGATGATAGAAGTGCTCCAGAATTTACCACTTTTGCCGCCTTTTTTTCCTCTATTTCATCTTCCTTCCCTCCTTGTTTCATCTAAATTTTAAAGGCCTTTCCTTTTCGGCCCCTTGATGCTCGGCCCGTGCTGAGCTCTCGATTAGCGGCCTATATTATTGGCCCATCGTTCAACGGAGCCTTTTTAAATAAGCTTTTAGGACAGTTTTATTTTTTTTTTCAAATAACACACCAGTAATTAAAAACTCACAAATTCATTCGGTTAATTCTTTTATTATTTATTTTTTAATTAAAATTGAAAATGCATTTAAATGAAAATTAAACATTTAATGCTTTTATAAAAAATTTAATGTATGGTTTATTTTTAGATAAATAAATTATTTTATAATTGGTGTACATTTTAAATCTAGTGATTTTGTTTGTTTATCTTTTGATTTTCTTGTAATAAATTAAAAAAATGTAAAACAATAATAAAACCATCAATCGCATTGAATTTTATGGATATTTAATTGAACTTGAAAAGCTTTCTAAAATTTTCTCAATTATGAGTCAAAGTGGAAGAATTACTTGCTATACATGATTTAAATTTGTTTATTAAAATTTGGTTCTGCTTTATGTGTTTATTTTTTACTCTTTGCTATTTGTTTATTATTTTAATTTAGTTTAATTTCTCATTTTTAATTAAAAATAAATTATAAAAATGTCAACTCAACTTCAATATGTAATTGAGCTTTACCTTATTTTCAAGCTTGGCCAATAAGTACTAACCAAAAAGAAAAGCAAATAACTCAAAGTTTTTTTTTTTTTTTTTTCATTAATCTTTATCTAAACGAAGCTTTAATTGTACCATATCAGTCTTATCTGTATTTTCGATAAATAAATTTCACTGATAAAAAAAAAAGTTTTTTCTTAGAGAGTAACAAAGTCTATGTCTAACTATGACCTGGATTTACTTTGCATATTTTGTAAAAATAAAAAATAAAAAGCCTGAAATATTCGTACGTACCGTTCAAGATTCACACCTTTATTTTTTTAGTATTTTTATGGTTAAAATAAGCTGACCAACTTCACCCAAACCTAACTTGCGCATATAGTTTTAACATAAAGCGATCCAAATGTGAACTAAATCATAAGATTCATCGAACATAGCCTCCTTGACTTAAAAAAAAATTGTTTCAATCACTTTCAAAAGATCACAAAAGGAAACAGCTTTGTTAAGGACAATTGATGCAGTAAAAAGAAAAAACCAAATCTACAAGGCATTAGGTAAATGTGAAAAACGTCATAATTATCTTGGCCAGGTTCATGCACAAAGCTAATTCTTGCATACTTGCATTATTTTTATATTTATTCTTTAAGGAGAGAATTAAAGAAAGTCCAACAGGGAGACACACGCGCGTGAGTAACGTGTTGGTTCAGTTATCCATTTTTGTTTAAAGGGATGTAGCAGCAGTTGCGGGAACATATTACTTGTAATTTTTTTAATTTTAATTTTATAATTGTGTACTTATAATAAAAATGATTATAATAATTTTATTATAAATAATAAGCTATCGTATTGTATATAATATATCGAGCCGGCCCAAAAAAATCAGCCGATCAACGTTTGAACTAGAAATCAGGCCGTTCGATTTTCCCAAAAAAAAAAAAAAGGAATAAAAAATAAACGACGTGAATATTACGATTAGGCCACCAAATAAAAGTGGGATTGTTTTTCTCTTTCTTTCTCTCTCCGACAATCGAATTCTAGGAAGAAAAAAAAACAAGGAACTAGTAAAAAAAGTTTACCAAAAGGAAAAAGAAAATATACAGAGAGAAAAAAGGCTAAAAAACTTGAAATCTTCAATAATGGCGGTTCATGGGGTTACTAGGTTTTTGTGATCAGTGATTTCGTTAGAGATTATCAATGGAAATGCCCGGTCGAAGATCCAACTATTCTCTTCTTAGCCAGCATCCTGACGACCAGTACTCCGTGTCCATGTCAGGAGCTCCGCCTCTGTATTACGATTCACTTTCGAGCGAAGGCACGAGTAATAAGAACAGCAAAGTGAAATTGGATAGAGGTTTAATTGATTGGGATCAAAATCAGAGTCAGAACCAAAGCCAGAACCAGCAACAAGCTGGTCGAATCGGCGGTGGCGGCGGGGGAGGAGGGAATACTTATGCTTCGTCGATCGGTCTTCAACGAGAATCGAGCGGGAGTAGCTTCGGTGAGAGCTCCTTATCGGGAGATTATTATGTGCCGACTATTTCTACGACGGCGGCGAACGAGATTGATGCGTTCGTTTACGGCCACGATGAGAGCTTTAGGCATGGGGATTTGAGAACAAAAGTTTGGGGTTCTTCGTCGGGGAAAAGCTGGGCGCAGCAAACGGAGGAGAGTTATCAGTTGCAGTTGGCGTTGGCTTTGAGGCTTTCTTCGGAAGCTACCTGTGCTGATGATCCAAATTTTTTGGATCCGGTTCCGGATGACACTGCAGTTCGGACGACTAGCTCAAGCTCTGTGGAGACAGTTTCCCATCGGTTCTGGGTAAGTTTCTTGTGGATTTCTTTGTTATTTGTTTGTTCATTACGCAATGAGCTTGTTTAAATGACCTTAATGCTCAGTAAGGCTAGGAGATTTTAGAAATATGCCTAGGTAAATATAATAGTTGTGATAGTGAGTGGATTTCTCTTTTAGATGATTTTAAAGATTTGGTGAGATAAACCGTATGATGTGCGTGAATTCTTACCTTTTGTTGTGAACTTTGAATGATGCATGGGACAGGATGTGAAAAGTTGGTTGGTCCTAACATTAGGTGTCCATTGATTCAGGGTTAGGTTAATCTGAACTTCTGAAGAGAGGATGATTATTTGTCATTTTGGAAAATATCTATTTTTTACAATTAGAAAAACAAACTGTAGTAGAACCAATGGTAGGGCTGAGCCATTTGTTTTTGTATTATTACTTTTCTTGTTAACCATGAATGCGATGGATGTGGTGAAAATGGGGTGTTTGCATGCATAAAAAACCAGACTAGCCTTTACAAAAATCATTTACAAGATAAAATATGTGTGAAGTGATTGCTTACTGTTGTTTTGTCTTCGTTGTGGTTTAATTAAACAATCAATATGGGGATTCTTTTGACCAATCAGATAGTCCAAAATGTTTATATAGCAATGATGCTATTTATACAGATATTAATGTTTAGAGGTTGAAAATGTTGAAGAGGTAAAAGTGCTGTATTAGATGGACTTTGGTAAAGGTGTCTGCTCTAGAATGGGTGCATGTGCAAATGGTAATGCATATTATATTGTGAATGATAATTTTTATTATTTTGATATTTGGCAAGCATATCTATACCTATGTTATGGGTTGTCAATGTGGGTAAAATGGAAGTTAATAGCTCCACAGTATCTGAAATACACATGTGAAAACTGGGAAGTTAGTTAAGTTCAAGGATTTGGCTGATAGAAATTTGGAAATTCAAATATCCTTGCTTTTCAATGTTATGTGCATCAGGTGAATGGCTGCTTATCATACTTCGACAAAGTTCCTGATGGGTTTTATTTAATTCATGGAGTTAATCCATATGTCTGGACTGTGTGCACTGATCTGCATGAACATGGTCGAATTCCATCAATTGAATCTCTAAGATCTGTTGATCCTGTTGTTGGTTCACTGCTAGAAGTGATATTAGTTGACCGAAGAAGTGATCCTGGCTTAAAGGAACTCCAAAATAGAGTCCATAACATTTCTTGTAGCTGCAGAACCACAAAAGAAGTTGTTGATCGGCTAGCAAAGCTTGTCTGCGGTCGCATGGGGTGAGTTATCTACACCATTAATGCACAAATTTTCAACATTCATGCATTTTTGTTGCACCTTGGTGACGAATTGTTTTATTGCTATCCCAAGGGGTTCATCTACTACAGGAGAGGATGACCTTGTTTCCTATTGGAGGGAGTGCAGTGATGATTTAAAAGATTGCTTAGGTTCAGTTGTGGTTCCTATAGGTAGCCTATCTGTTGGCCTTTGCAGACATCGAGCTTTACTATTCAAAGTAAGGTCCTAAGTTTTATGGTGTTTTCATTTAACCTAAGATCTTAGGAAGTATTTTTTGCTTTAATTATGGTTAATTTTTCATGTCTTCATGACATATTAGTGGGAGTAAGTTTCCTGTTATAAAGTTTGTTTCCCTTTGAAGGAGAGAGGATTCATTCACATTTCAAATATAATTTATGCAGGTGCTAGCTGACGCAATTGATCTACCATGCCGAATTGCAAAGGGCTGCAAATATTGTAAAAGAGATGATGCTGCCTCCTGCCTTGTTCGCTTTGGGCTTGACAGGTAATTTATATCAGCACAATGGTGTTTTGGTTGGTGTTGATTATTTTTACTTAACTGTGTTTCTGATTTATAATCTGTTCCTTTAAATTCTGAAGTTGTCATTCTTTAAATTTGATTTGTTTTTGAATGGCAATATTTTGCTGACAAAAAACCGTGCATTTTTAATTGACTTTGTTGTTTGTCATGCGGGAAACTGAACAAATTCTTTGAAACAAAAATTGCCTAATTCCACCTGCTACTCCACTTGCATGGTGGCAGTGCATTTGCTTATTGTGGTTCTTTCTTCCCGTTTTGGTCTATGGTTTGTGAAAAAGTTAATGTCTAACTTATCTTGGTGAAATATCTGCTATATGCAAGAGAAATCTCTTGAAGCCAGTATGATGGAGAACAACCTTCCAAGTTTTGGAAGTATGTCTATTCTAAACCTAAATTTAGGAAATAAGGGTTAATTTATTAGTGGAGTTGTTTATTTGGTTTATTTTTGTTAGGCTTTATTTGGGTTAGGTGTTCTTTATTTTCCCATGGGCTTAAAACCAGGTTTATGAAGCTTATATATTTGGGTTTTATTATGTTTGGAGATTGAATTTTGATTATTGAACGATTTTGATATTGAGAATTATCAAATATTTTTATTCTGGAGAACTTTCGTACATCACAGTCTTTGTGATTTCAGGGAGTATCTTGTTGATTTAATTGAGAACCCAGGTTACTTATGCGAGCCCGATTCCTTGCTCAATGGTCCATCTTCCATCACAATTTCTTCCCCATTGCGTTTTCCACGTCTCAAAGCAGCTGTAACTGCCATTGATTTCAGGTCATTGGCCAAACAGTATTTTTCAGACTGTGAATCCCTTAATCTTGTATTTGATGATGCTCCAGCAGGTAAATTTTTGGTCACTATCTATATAATGAGCTTTAATGAATGCCCTTTACCTGCTTTGAGATTTTAGGCTTTAGCCTTTCACTTGGCTTGGAGTTTGTAGTTTCTTTTGATCATCTGCTTGGGAATGCTGGAAGGTTTTTCATATTTAGCGAAGTTCCTTCACTGGTTATGCTGTTGGTCAAAGGCTGAGTGCAGTGTTTCAAGTTTTTATAAAAAATTTCAGCATCTTACTGATGAAACCAATAGATAATTACTTCTCTTCCAGTGTAATTGTGCTCTAACTTAACAGTTTCTTATAAAGCTTGCTGCTGATAATTTTTGCATGGGCTTTTCACTTTTGGCAAAAAAATTTCATCTTGGAGTCAAATAAGGCATTGTCATATTGGTTAGAGTTACAAGGGAAAACCAGAAAAGTTACCCTGGCAGTTTATATGTGGACAGGCATTAATAAATAAAATTTAATCTGGTTTTTGATATAGTCAATTGCTTCTTGTTGTTGGTTGCACTTTTATAACACTGTTGAGGCTGTCATTTCTATATCTACATTAAAATTTTGTTATGAACACAAGGCTGCATTTTACGAAGTAGCATATTCTTTATATGGGGATTGGGGAATGTTTGTGACTTAAATTTGATGCCTTTTCTAGGGTTCAGCCATTTCTTTTACATGGTTAAATTTGTGCGTCTGTATTTATCTGGTGTGCAAGTATGCTATAGTTTTTTGTCATTTCAGGTACTACTACGGATGAAGAAAATCCTGGATTCTCTCTTTATCCCAAGAAACTTGGTAAGATTGGCACAGACAGAAATAACCTTGTGGAGATCTCAAGTAAACAGTTGCCCCTACCTCCTAATATTGCTCGGCCAACTGATCATGATAGAGATTCCCACTATTCGGAGTCTATAACACTCTCAAAGAATATTATTAAAAAGCGCATCTCTAAACTAGGGCATAGAGATCTCCCAGTTCTAGTCTTGTCTGACCCAATGGGGGATGCTACTAAGGATTCAAGGTTTGCTGAGGGCAGTCAACTTGTTCCCAGCAAAAGAAGCAAGGAACTTTTCCTTGAAGTTGATGATTTGGACATTCCATGGAGTGATCTTGTTTTAAGAGAGAAAATTGGTGCTGGTACTTTCTGGTCCCTTTTTGAAGAACATATTTTTTTACTGAATAGACTATAGAGATTCCATATTCCTTGGTTATAATTCATGCAGTTATGGTTCTACTAGTGAACTTAGGTTTGTACTTGGTTCTTTTCAGGTTCTTTTGGAACTGTGCATCGTGCTGAATGGAATGGCTCTGTAAGAATCCTTTTGATTATTTTCTTGTTGTCATAAGAATAAAGTTAAATGTTATGGAATGCCACTTATTGTTCATTGCTAACAACATCTGCTTTCTTGTATTTCAAAATTCTAGTGATCTGATCGAGATTTGGTTCCTATTTTGTTTGTTCTATTCCTTGGGAGTGAGAAAATGTCAACAATTATTCATATTTATTTGACAAATGAAAGTAGATAGATTCATTAATGACATGTATTTTATCTGCGAAGTTGCAGAATTTGTTTTATGTGTCTTTTGATTTTAGGAGTTAGGGGTATTTAAAGAATTTTTAGATTTTCTAGAATGTGGTATATGATGCAATCAACTTTAGGTGTGATATCTGAAGAAGTTAGGTGCAAAGTCTAGGTTATCTTTTCTCTCCTCTCTGAGTCAATTTCCGCACTATAATTCTTAGGATTCAAATTTTAAACCTGCTTGAAGTTTAGAAACCCTTTCTTATCAATGTTCACTTGAGCTCACATCAATTGACCATCAATTGACCACCAAAACTGAACTCTCAAATCCAAATTATTAATCTTGATGCTTTTCATGCATGTTGTAGTACCAAACCATGTTATTCTATAAACCTTTCTAAACCATCATTGGTCTATTTTTTCACATATTTTTCTCTTTAGCTATGTATGTAAATGAAAATTGGTTTGAAATAAGGTAAATCTGGCACTACACCTTGATATATATGCAGTCATAGTTCACTATATAGGTGAAGTACAATATAAATTTTAGGTCAATTTCAAGCTGCTTGGCAAGCAATCTTCAATTATGCTAGCTAAATACAAATAAATTTATTTTGTTCACTTGAAGAGTGAACTTTTTGTTCTTTATCCTATTTTATTTTGGAGTTTGGTCCATCTTTGGTGAATTTTTAGTTTCAAAGTATTCACCACTTTTGAGATATGGGGTACGACACATCTTGGCTTGACTTGGGGGACTAAGAAGCCTATGTAGCACCAGAATTCATGAATCAAAAAAATAAATAAATAAATTTTTTTGTAAGATTGCATGAAATATTGGTAGGAGCAAATCATATGGTGGTCAAATTTTGGATTTGCTTTTGTTGATAATTCAATCTTTATCCGAATAAAAATTATTTTAAATTACAGGATGTTGCTGTGAAAATTCTCATGGAACAAGACTTGCATGCCGAACGCTTCAAAGAATTTTTGAGTGAGGTATGAGTTGGCTGGCATTGTGAATGGACTTTGTTTCTAAGATTAAGGAAATATCAATTGCACATTCATGTTCTTGATATGATGTGTAATTTCACCTCAATTGTTTGTTAGGTTGCAATAATGAAATGTCTACGGCATCCAAATATTGTTCTTTTTATGGGAGCGGTTACTCAACCCCCAAACTTGTCCATAGTGACAGAATACTTATCAAGGTTTGCTACTGTTTTTCCTTCTTCTTTTTTGGGAAATGCCCCTTCATTTGCATTCATTCATTTGAAAAAAGAAAAAAAATTTATGTCTACTGTTTAAGACTGCTCTTTAGATGTTTGAGTTGTTAAGTGGACTAAAACCTTGACTCGAATTTGCAGAGGTAGCTTGTATAAGCTATTGCATAAGCCTGGTGTTAGAGAGGTGTTGGATGAGAGGCGTCAGTTGAGTATGGCCTATGATGTTGTGGGTATTCAAAGGGTTTACTTTTTTTTTTTTTTTCATTTTCGAACTTCTTATGGTATCATCCTTATATTTTGTAAATTATTATGGTCTAAATAACCATCTTCTTTTACACACAGGCAAAGGGAATGAATTATCTTCATAGACGCAATCCTCCTATCGTTCATAGAGATTTAAAATCCCCAAATCTTTTGGTTGATAAAAAATATACAGTGAAGGTAAGACCCAGAATGTTGCTGCTGTGCCTTAAAGAGTATAGCGTTTTAAGTTGATGATCCTGTGATAGGAAGCATAAACATTTTGCTGTTTCCATTTACTTATTTTTGCAAAGTAGTAAATGCTAAGTGAATGACTTCTTCATTCTTGAACTGATAATGGAATCTAGATAGTTCTCAAGCCTTATAATGTTGTTAATATGTTAAATTAACCAAGGGTTTACTATTGATAACTGTTCTCAACTAGTTTTCTGTAATCATATTCTACTTTGTGTATAGTTGGAGCCAGCCTCATTTCCTCTAATTTGCTGCTTCATTTATAATTTATATCCTGTGCCTTTTTAATGCAAATTTCTCTCAAAAGCTTTGGTGATTTTGGGCCTGTCCACCAGTTAATATTCCATTCTTCTGGATTTGTTCAGTCAAGAAGAGGCAACTACTATCTTATTATCTCTTGCATCTAATTTTGCGTTCTGACAAAGGACAAGTAATTTTGTCACACCATTTTCATGGACTCTTGTTTGGTGTTGCATTCTTAATGGTGATGTTAACACGACCATGATGAATGTGGTTTTACCATTTTCTGTTGAAGTCCATGTCCATATGATGTCTGTTTTATGGCTTGCAAGTCTTTTTGCTCTGTTGTAACTTGTGGAGAATTGTCAAGTAGTTTGAAAGTCCTTGTACTTTTGTTTAGTTACTTAACATACTTCTTCCTCACTTTGCCTGGTCTGGATATTCAGGTTTGTGATTTTGGGCTTTCTCGGTTGAAGGCAAACACATTTCTTTCATCCAAAACAGCAGCTGGAACTGTATGTTATATAAGTTCTTAACTATATTCTTGGTATTTCTATTTGAGTTACTGTAGGTCTCTGTTTATGCTGCACATTATTAATAAACATAAATTTTTTTATATTAGCCTGAGTGGATGGCTCCAGAAGTTCTTCGTGACGAGCCATCAAATGAGAAGTCTGATGTATACAGTTTTGGTGTAATTTTGTGGGAGCTTGCAACGTTGCAACAACCATGGGGCAACTTAAACCCACCACAGGTTTGATAATGCATTATAGATCTTGGCCCCACAAATATCTCATTAGCTGATGATTTATCTTTTATGAGCTTGACAAGGAGCATATTGAAATCTTCATTAAAAAGAAATTTGTGGTTTTCATTGAAGACAATACTCCATTGCTTCCAAGTTGGTTGGAATTATAATCAGATGGCAACTAAAATTTTCTTGGAGGGGAACAAACCGATTTTATAAGCACATTGAACAGCAGTGTTGTACAACCTGAGCTATAGATCACATGCTTGAATCTCATTTGAAAGATGAACTCTCTGGGTATCTTAATGCTGAATGCAGACATCCTAAGTTGAGATAAAGTTCAAATTTGTCTATTTAATGTTTGCAAATGAGGACCTCAATTTTGTTCCTCTGAAAAAGGTGTGAAGCTAATCACAATTAGGCATTTGCTCTTTAAATTTGGCAGCTTGCATTGAAGTAGCTATGTTTTGTACTTTGTGGACTGGCGTACCCCTCAATGTACATTAACTATTGATATATCAGTGCTTTTTTTATAATTAATACCTTTGAAATTAGGTTTTCTACTACTCAAACTATTTTGTAAGTTTTACATAATTGTCATGCAAGGATATCTTCTGGACTCTGGAGCTAAATTTCTAACGAGCATAGCCCAATGTAAACTGCCTTGTAGGTTGTAGCAGCTGTTGGTTTCAAATGCAAAAGGCTTGATATTCCTCATGATTTGAATCCTCAAGTGGCTGCAATAATTGAGGAATGTTGGGCCAAGTAAGTCTAAAAAGCTTTTCTGATTTGGAGCTTGTTAAGCAAATTTTCCTCTTTAAGATATCCCTATTTCTTCATTGTCATTGTTGATTTTAATGCAGTGAGCCTTGGAAGCGTCCTTCATTTTCCAATATCATGGAACGGTTGAAATCATTGATTTCCACCCCTCCACCAGGGTATGCTGATATGCCATTGCTTACCTGAATGGTTGGACCTCCTGCAAAGTCTTCTTTGTGCACATAATCCAGCATTCTTTTTGACATTATATGCGTTGCAAGGGTGCATGCTGTTAAATAATCTAAGGTACGCTCTTTTAAATGCTTCAGCTTCAAAATTACCAGCATGGTCCACTTTAGGATTCCTTTTAATAGTGGGATTATGTTTGGCTTCTCCTTGAGAGAAGAGGAAAGCTAGGTAATTGTAGAGTTCCTTCTTTAAGTTTTTTAAATCTCTTTTCCTCGAAGATTTTTGCAATCAGCAAAGCTTGAGGGTTTGTGGGTGTATGATGTTTTCACTGGATGAAGTTTCATGTCTCCTCTTCATGTTTATGGTGCTCATCAATCCATAGGCGTAGATGCAGACGCACACGCTTCTGCTGATGCATATGCATATTCATTTTCTCTTTCATTGTTTATGAGAATTATCATTTTAAATGCATTGCTTGGTCTATCTGATACTTGTATACGGTTTGATTCTTTGCAGAATTAGTGTTGTACATGTCTGTTCTCGTAGCCAATTGTTACCTCTGATTTTTGACATGGACTAAAGGGTTGTGGTCAATTCTGTATTACCCCCCTCTTGCCAAAGATAATTGTTTACACAAGTAAATTTTCACATGAAATATGGGGGAAAAGTTGTATCATATTGTCTCTCAATAGTTTTGTATGTAAATACTGTAACTGAGATTAGTTCAATGAGAAGCAGCTCATCGGCATTCCACACTATCTAGATCCGTTTCACTTGTAAATAACTTAGAGACGGCGCAATTGAAATCCTAAAACTTTTTGAGAGTGTTATGTAACTAACTACCGAAAGCATTTCTTTTTATTACCTTATCTTCCAAAATAAAAAATCTATGACCTTTTATTTTTTGTTCTATTTGATTTGCTCTTATTCCCACTTTGAGAATCCCCTTTTTGCTTGACCTTGTTTCTTTTGTTAAAGGAGAGTTGTGGAAATCAAATGCTTCTAGCGAAAGGACGTTAACTCTCTTTCAAACAAAGTGGGATAATGTGGATCAGAAGGAGATCCTTTGTGAAACGTTATTTTTTTTTCTCCCTTTTAAACATAGGCTGCTTGACAATCCGTTTCAAATAGAACATATATCATTATGGAACTTTTTCACGTCAGATGGGTTGTTCTCCAATCCATTTTCAATTAAAATTGGGATCTTTCTTTCAAAGCATATGGTTGGCAAAAGAATTGATTATTGGCCCGTGCATCACGTGCACAATAAATAAATTTAAAAAATGATTGGTCCAAAATCTCTAATAAGCGTCCTAGTTCCTACCAGTTCCAAACCACAAATCCACGCACTTCATTGGCCCGTTAGACCAGGCTTCGTCCCAAAGTATTTTGACCACTAACATGTCAGCCACATTCAAATCCCAATTCCCACCTAAACAAATGTTTTCAAGACAGGCCAGAGACTAAAAAAATATCTAACCCAACTGTTGACCCCAACTGCTTCCTTCCGACCAGTTGACCACACAAAGATTTGATCGTTCAAAACCCCAGCCGCAGTAAAGTATCCGCCTGGAAAGTGGAAACTACCCAAACTTAGGTCGGCGCTTATGTTCTTTCTCAAATCTCTGTTTTTATTTTTTATTTTTATGCAATTCTATAACAAATGACATAAATATTCCACGTACAAATCAATAACAGTTAACTTCACCATGGCCGTTGGAGAAAAAGGCGAACCTAGCCCCACAGCCTCTAAGGATTTTTCATCGTAACAGTTTATCGACTTAAAGTTAAACCCTTCAAAACCCCCTTCCACTCTTCTTTTTTTGCACTTCATTCTCTCGTTAAATTTAAGCTGAAAGTCAGAAATCTTTTTAAAGCCTTCTTCTTTACTTCCAAAAATCAAATGAGCCCAAAGGACGAAAAAAACTCTCCGAATTTCCCTCCAAACCCACCCCAAATATCGCTTTTCCGTTCTCCATTAATGGAATTGGAAACATTTCCAGCAGCACCATCTGGAGCGGAGTTTGTTGGAGTGCCTCAAACTTTGGAAATTCTTCAGGGGAATCCAGTACCGCCTTTTTTTGGTTGAAAACGCTTGATTTGGCACGTCGTTGGATCCGATCATCTCTTGGGGTCCGACAGGAGAGAGCTTCGTATTTTGGGACCCATCGAATTTTCCAGGCTGATACTTCCTCGGAATTTTAAGCACAATAATTTCTCCAGCTTTGTTCGTCAGTTTAATACTTCTGTGGGTATTATTGCAATAAAACAACCTAGATAAAACCCCCCTCCAAAAAAAGAAAAGCTCATATCATTGGTTTTTTAAATTTGGTTTCTCTTTATTTGCTTGTTTCTTTGATATTGTTTTCTGTATTGTTGTTATAATTTTTCTCCATTTATTTTGCTTTTAAGGCTTATTCTGTAATTGCGGAAGAAGGATTTGTACACTTTAATTTGTAACATTGTAAATTATCAAAGTGTTGTACAGAATTTTGTAATCGAAAAAAGGGTTAATTGAAATCATTGTTTTGATTTAAATGTGCTTTTGAAATCTTGTTATATAATGCTTATGGTTTTGTTGTACGGTTAATTGTTGCATTCAGCTGTTCATGTTTTATTCCCACGAGCTTTTGTAGGCTAATGTGTTTATTTGTATTGAGATCATATGTAAAATTTATCTATAGACTTGGATGTATGTTAAATGTGTGAATTCTTTTGAGTGTATTAAAAGATTGGTTAAGCTTCTTTGAGGTCAGCTCTCTTCATTTTGTTGAATGTTTTGTTGAATGCCTGCTGGATTTGGGAGTTCCATCTTAAGCAGGTAGAAATTTTGGGTTCTGGTGTAATATTTTTTATTGTGCTATCAGTCTGTATTTTTCTAACAATTTCTTTTCTTTTTTTTTTTTTTAAAGAGAGCTGATGTTATGACTCATGATAGACAGATCATCCATATAGTGCATTCTGGCTTCTGCTATATCTGAAAATTGGAGGCTTTAAATTAACTTATGTGAATCATAATCTTGATATTTTTGGTTTTCTGTACAATCCTATTTCCCCATTCCTTCTTGAATCATCTTGGGTATTGTTTCAGGGTTTTCGCAAAATCGATACTGATAAGTAGTTGTATCTGATGAGTTGGCAGCTGCACATGGATTTCTTGGAACCCCAGAGCTGGTGAGAGAAGTTACATCAGGCTTGGGAAGCAAAGATCCTAATTTCAAATGGAAGAATGTAATGGGCTCAGAACAAGTGGTTAATCCAGGGTATTTTGTCTCTTTCCCAGAGGATGTGGTGAAGCAAAAAAGCACCCAAGAGTTCTCATCTTCTATTGCTGAAAGCATTTCTAAACAAGAGGATATACGGAGCATGGGTTTTGATGCTACTGCTGGAGTGTTTAGTTTTAGCAATGAGTTATGGGGTAATCTTAAAAGCTATGGCATTCCAGAGTTAGGAGTGACTGGTGGGTTATCTGATGTCTGGTATCTTGGTTTTTTGCAAGCAACAGAAGATTCAGGCACGGATAAATGGCCAGCTGAGGAATCTCCTTATGATAATCCTGATACTCAGAGTCAAGCTGGCCAGCCACAAGATAATAGAAGTCAGATCCATAAGGGTTCATTTGCTTTTGCAGATGATGACCTTGCGGATCACAGTTATCTTCAGTTACTAGGATGAAGGGTTGAGTGGACAATTGATTTATGAACATATTAATTGAATGCCAGATTTTTTTTTTCTAATATTACTATCAGTACAGGTTTCTGTTCTTTTCTATTTTTGAATTTTGATTGGGAAGCTTGGTTGTTTCAATTTTAGGCTAACTCTTGTGAATCGATTCTTTCCTGTTGCCTCGCTATGTGATGGGTTGCACTTGAAGTTGCAGGTTTTCCACTTACAAATATATTTGAGTTATGAAACTGCAAGTTTTATATACATCCATATGGCTTGGTGGCATATTCTTAATTCTCTCTCTGCCAGGACTGGCATGTGAATATCCGGTAAGAAATGAAATCTTGATTTTTGCTTTTCTGTGGTTGCATTCTAATAAGTCACCGCATGACTTTAGAACTTGATTGACAATTTCATCATGGGTGCAGGGTTTGCTTCATTTGCTGTCATGTGTTCTTTTAAACTGATTGCTTACAAGTTTATGACTGTTGTATACTATCCTCAATAACATTGTATTTATGTACTTGGCATTTTTATCTAAATATACTTGAATAATAAAGTGAAAATTCGGCAAGTTCAGGAAGTGGTGTAATTCTCAAAGAAACTTGACGAATGGCTTTTCCTTTATGCTGATGTGACACTGTGAGTTATGTCTGGTATTGGCAGATTGTAAATGTTAGGAAGGTTTTAATATTTTTTCACTTTGGGCTAATCTACATGCTGAGTTGTGTGCTTCACCTTTGATCCCATATCTTGGTGTTTGTTTTAGGAGTAATCACCTCTGTTTAAATCTTCATACTATATCCCTATCGATGCAGGTTGCTGAGCTGTAATGAACGGGGTCAGAGGGGTCAACTATTGATGAAGGATCTCCAGCAACATTGGCAATTACTACAATTTCCTTTGCTTTTGTAAATTTCCTGTAACTGATGTTAGGAATTACAAAGGGCTATGATATCTTTTTTCTTTTTGGGGGAAAAGTGGTAAAAGGCTTATGATTTATTTCATTGGTAAAGGATTGTCATAGCCATGGCTGTTCCTCTGTACCAGAAATTATTAGTAAATTTCCTATGCAAATTTATTTATTTTTTGCCAAATATTTCCCTCGCAGTTCAAGAATGATATAGCACAAGAATTAATACTGAAGAGTAATTGTAAGAGGCAATTGCAATTTCGTTGATGTCAAAAACGATTTAAACAAAGAGGGCTTTTCACTGCTTTTTTTTCTCTATTTCAAAATAGGATGAGACATAGGGAAAATATTGAACAGTTGTTACAGCTTTTTTTGTCCTTTCCAAGAAAATGTTAAGGTTGAACTAAATATAACAATCCAACATAAACACCTAAACAGCTTTAATAGATGATATAGTTGAAACAGCAAAGGGTGAAATGAAAAATCAGCTTCCAGAACCTATCTTATCCAATCCATTTGATTTCCGTTCATAAAATTGATAGCCCCAGAGCAAAAATATGGCAGGGAACAACTATAAGAAGGTTAACGCAATAGCAAGCATCCAATGGGCTACTCAGACTCTTCCTTCTGCTTTTTTGAGGCACGCTCATTAGCCTCTTTCTTCTTAGCTTCACGACGCTCTCTCTTCACACCTTTGGCCTTGTTAGGTAAAGCCATATCTCCAATCTATAAGGAACAAGGACATTGAAATGAAAAATAGCCAAAACTGGGAGAAAGATATTTAAGATTGACATTTATAAGCTTAAAAAACCATTGTTCTCTTACCTTCTGATCGGGAATGTAGATCTTCCCAATTGTCCCTTGTACCGCATCCGAGCTAACATTTTTGACCTGTGAAGCAACCAAAAAAAAAAAAAACGGTTCACTAACTGAAATACCAATTCGTTGCAAAGCAGCATAGAGTTACTGGCATATTCACAATACCTTCTTCTTAGGTTGATCTTTAGCTTTTTTCATAGCTTCTTTCCTCAAGCCTTCATTTGGAAGGCGATGACGCCGAACCACCAAATCCATGGAGGGACCTACTTCTACCAGTTCCATCCTTGGAACTACACTGCCAGACTTTTTCAACCGCAGGGCACAATGCGAAAGGTATACCCTATTTGAAGATATTGCTGTACATATATAAGCACGGTCCAACCCAGCAAGATTTACATTCTCCACAACCTGCATTAATTATAGACATGTCTGTATAAAAATTCCATCTAAATAGAAATGAAAGTAAATGCAAAAAGCTACAGTCAAACCTCTCCTCGCAAAAGATCAAGCAAAACTTCCTTCAAATGTTTCAGCTCATCTACATTCTCAAACCCTTCTCCAACAAAAGCAATGAAAGGCTTTGATCCCATCCGTGGAGCTAGTTTCTTGTCATAAGTAAATGATTCAATAGATTTAAAATTTTCAACCCCAACCTCTACAAGATCATAAATATGGTGATCATACATCCGCCCTATGACAAGATTGTTGGGTCGCTTCTTTGAGTGTGAACCATACTGCAAACACAAGGCACATAATCAAAATGATTATTTACAGAACTGCTAGCATAGAATGTAAGTGGGAATCTCGAAAATTTACTACACAAAGCAGGTCTAAGACTAATTAAGCACGCATCAAACCAAGGGCTCTCCTAAACAATAAAACCAACAAAAACAAGGAGGGACCAATAAGATAAAATAAAGATATCAATAGACTATAGAGTTCTGCAAATCCTAAAAATTACTTTCTTTACGACGAACTAAGTTTATCATTTCACAAGCCAACACAGCATAATAAGTTTATACAATGCCAACTTAGAAAGAGATAAAAAAGAGTAGAAATAGAACCAAAAAAAGAGGCGAAAATGTGAAGCTGCAGGGTTTATCACTCACAACAAAAATGCTGCAATCAGTTTTGAGAGAAAAAAACTCCAAGGAAGTTTCACCCCCACTTTCAAATGGCCTTATATTATCATTCTTCCTTGTAAACCTCACAGCTCCACCTTTCTTTAAACGGTAAATTTCACTCAATACACCATTTAGTGTGCCGCTCGTTTTGGTACCTTGCAGTATCAGAGTTTTCTTCCCTGTTTCTACCTGCCAAACACAATTTCAATAAAAACCCACTTTTTTAATATCAATGTTCATTATAAATTTTGAAGAATTTCGTAAAAACTTACGAGCTTTGGAGCTCGTTTTTCTAATTCCCTTTTAACTCTGCCATTCTTGGGGGTTTTAACTTTCATCATGATTGCCTGAAACAATAAAGAAAACATATAAAGATAAAAAATTTATCGGAAAAATCTTCTATTTCAAAAAAATAGAGAGTGGAAGTACTGGTAACTTACGACAGGGTAAAGGGCGGAAGCAAAGCGATAGCTTGTAATGGAGATGCTAGGGTTTTTCTTACAGTTAGGTTGTTGAAGTTGAGGTTATTACATTATAGTCGGTGAGTTTAAGGGCTTTATTGTTGGGTTTGGCCCAAATCTGAAAATGGGTAATGCCCAATTGAGATTTTATTTTACTATTTTTTATTATTTTTATTATTATTATTATTATTATTTAGCAATATGGCCCATAAAACAGCACATTTCAAAACATAATATCAATATGTGTAGCTTAGTGGAATTTCCATTCAACAGAGGCCCCAAAAATTAGGACTTTGTGTAATATAATTTTGGAAATGTGTAACGATATGGCCCTCTTGTAATATATTTTTTTCGACATCTATGCCTAAATGTTGGGTTTGTTTGGGCCAGACCCAATTTCTGGTTTTATTTGGGTTTGGATTTTCCCATTTTATTTAATCTTTGCGTTAGCTCAAAGCCCAGTAGCAGCAGAACACATTTTAAGGTCCAACCAAACAAGGCCATAAAATCCTTTCCTTTTGGGCTTTTAACGATCGTTCCCTCCATTATTTAATTAGCCCTTTTTAACCTCCAGACTCTCAAAATTTACAATTAACCCTTAACCTTCCTTCTTTCATTTTTTCCATTCAACGGTGTTCGCTCCTTCTGTCACCTCTTCACTCTCAAAAATCCCTCCTCATCCAAACAATCCCTAATTCCCTCGCTATTGAAAATTCTCAGCTCCTTTGTATTTAGAAATTAGAATTAAAATTCCTTTTTTGTTGTACATTGTTTTTGTATTTTCCCTTCTTGTACATTAGGGTTTTGCATTTTTTTTTAATTTTCGATTTGGATTTATTATTGTATTCTTTAAATTCTTTTTTTTTCCTTTTGGTATACTTGGAATTGCTAATTTCATGTAAATGAAAAAAAGAGTGGTTATCAATTAAGGGGTTTAGGGTTTTCGATTAGCTTATATGTTAATCGACATGGAGAATCCGCGTAGATCATTTGATAGATCAAGAGAACCCGGTTTGAAAAAGCCGCGGTTAACCGAAGACCTCGCTCCGAACCCTAACGGCTGGCCTTTTCCTCCACGGACGAATCCAGCTGTTCCCGCCTCTGCTTTAAGATTCCAGTCCAGTGATTCGGAGACCAATGACTTGAGCCGCCGCGGCGCAGCTTACGAGCCACAACCAGTGTCACATCCGCGTCAACAACAGCAGCACTTAGCCAGTACAAGACGGCGTTAGCTGAGCTGACTTTTAACTCGAAGCCGGTTATAACTAACTTGACAATAATCGCTGGCGAGAATCTTCACGCCGCCAAGGCAATTGCTGCTACTATCTGCGCCAACATTCTTGAGGTGAACTCAGTTTTAGCTGTGCCTTATGCGTTAAGGCTTTCCTTTTTATTTGAATTGAATTGCATAGGGAAATAGATTAAGTTTGTGATTCTATACTGTGGAAAGAGAAAAAAAAAAAAAAAGAAAGGAAAAGAGGAAAAGATAAGTTGGATTGTAATTGTAAATTGGGATAAATGGATTCTTTTCAGTTTCGGTTTATCAATGTGTGTCTCGATGTGGTTTGGTTGAAATGTTTTGCTGAGTTCTTTCGATTCAAATTTATATTTTCATAACAGGTGATATGATTGCAATGATTTTGGTCAAGTGTTGGGTGAATTTCTTTTTATTGACAAACGCAGCATGAGGAGAGATGGTAATGATGTGATGTGATTGCTTAGTCTATGCAATTTCAATCTAAGGCCATGGTGCCCGCAAATTTTTCGTTTCATGGATTTTTGTGTTAAATTTTCATGGATCTAATATGTTTCTAATTGCCCCACAATTTGTAAAGAGCCAGCTATTGGATTATAGAGATGATAAACTTTACCAGCATGTGTTAAAATGGAATGTAACGAGAGCCAGTATTTTGTGAAACTATTGATTTCATGGAAAATGAATCGTTTTTGGGTTTGGAATCTGATTAAGCTATTATACCCTTGCACTTGGGGTTTTTCACAGCAATATGGTTGTATGCTCTACTCTTTTGTTCATCTCCATTTCCTTCTTCTTATAGCACTTTCCAACTTATACATTATCATCTCTTGCTAGCAATTCTTTTGTTATGCTACTCAAATCACATTTGGATGCGGATATGAGTAAATAGAACTAGAAATGCTAAGGCCATGGTCAGTGCTTTAGTCGAGTTCCCTGTTGCTTACTGTTCTCTTGGGTTTCCCATAGGCAAATGGGAATGATCAGCTTTCCAAGTCTACTAAAAGTTATAATGGTGCGTCAGATGTGAATTACTTGGATCTCAAATAATGTATACTCTGTGATGGAGCTAATTTATAAAGGGTGCAACAGATAGAAAGTCATGAAAAACGGGGGAAGAAAATGAAATCATAATCAGAAATGCATGAAGTCAGATTTTATGGAAATGGAATTGGACACTTAACTTGATGAGGTTGGCTATTTTTGTTAGCAGGGATGCATTCCAAAACTTCTATTGCTGATGAAAATTTCATTAGTGAAACTTGTTTTTATTTTTCTTCTTTATGAGGAAAATGAAAGTTTTGGTTGATTCTGTTTGCAATCCTTATTCCTCCCTCACCTCGCTTTCTTTTCATTACAGCATTGCTGGTATTATGATAGTTGAAGAAGGATTAGTCCAATGAAGGTATGCTTTTGTGGTTTGAGAGCTGATTAAAAAATGACTTTGCAGGTTCCCAGTGACCAAAAGCTGCCATCACTCTATCTTTTAGACAGTATTGTAAAGAATATCAGGAGAGATTACATAAAATATTTTGCTACCAGATTACCTGAGGTTAGGCTTTATTCTTTTTTTTGTTCTGTTGTTGCTCAATGTGGCATCTAACAAAATGTCTTGTAATATACTTATGTTTATTGTCTGAAAAGCCGCAGAAGACTATTCTATCAATGAAAAAAATCATATGCTTTAACTAATATATCTATCCTTGTCACCTTTATGCGCTCAGGGTGTCAAACTCTTCCTAATGCTGAAAACTTCTCTGTATATTACTTCTGTGTTTATCTAGAATGTGGTTCATACTCGTGTTGCAAGTGAATAGTCCTTACCATTTTGACTGCTGATTTTAGGTGTTCTGCAAAACATATAGAGTAGTTGATGCTCCTGTGCATCAGAGTATGCGGCATCTTTTTGGAACTTGGAAAGGGGTATTCCCTCTTCATCCTCTCCAGGTGATTGAAAAGGAGCTTGGCTTTGTTCCTATGATAAATGGTTCATCTCCAGGAACCACAACATCTAGACCTGATCCACTTTCACAGCGTCCACCTCGTAGCATTGTATCTAGAGAAGCAGCGTCTTCAACAGTCAAGCAGAGTAAATTCTACAATCTGTTTTTCCTTTTTATTTTTTTTATCATATCCATTGGATTTTTTACAGTATAATTCTGAAGCATTTATGGATGTTGGAGATCTGCTCGTGTTTATAAAGTGAGCAGTTTAAATGCTTTTTCTCCACCAGTTTTTGTTTTTCACCTTCCATCTTTAAGGATTCATTTCCAAAATTTTGAGAATCCCTCTATCATTCCCCATTCCTTTCTAAACATTCATGGAATCATCTATGTCAATGCCACCATTGCCAAGTTTTTTCTTCCTTGTCATAATCATCAACTTCATTCATTCATCTCTGTGCGAAGTGATAGATTCAGATTTTAGTGCTTGTATTGTAAGGGCTGTTCTATTAATTTGGTTTTGTGTGATGAAGGCAATAGGTATGATCAATGATATGACTGGCAATATGGCCAACTCAAAGGAGGATTCTGAGTGGCCAGATAGAACAACCATTACAGCTGGACGGCCATATGGAGATCCATCTATTAAAATGAATGTATGTGAAGTGTTTTAAAGTTTGTTATAATCTGTTTATCCCTTTTTCACTTTCTTTATATATTAAAATTATCAGAACATTCAGCATTCTTATAGACTGTGTATATAACAAGCCTCTGTTCGTGAGAAGAACATTGGTGCTACATTGGTGATTATGACTATAGCTCTGATCTTTTACAGACTCCTAGCATGGGAATTGGAAGAACCAGTGGAAAGGTTACTGATCAAGGGCATGATAGGCGATGGTATGGAACTACAAGCAGTGTTGCTGAGACGATTTCTGGTCAAAGGAATGGTTTCTATATTAGGCATGGATCTCAAAACTACTCATCAGCCAAATCTGTGAATGCTGATCCTCGTTTACATTTAACACAGAACATTGCTGGTAGAAGCAGTGGTGGGTTGTCTAGCAGCTGGAAAAACTCTGAGGAAGAAGAATTCATGTGGGAGATGCACTCTAGATTGTCAGAACATGATGCAGCCAACATCTCTAATTACTCGAGGAAAGATTGTTGGACTCCTGATGTTTCAGAAAAATTTGTAAGCTTACAAGAACAGGACTTTGAATTGAATACATAATTTTACTGAATAAGTTTGGAGAAATCTCTTTGCTCAACTTGAAAAAAATAAATTTATCTATAAATTTAATTGGCTGGAAACATTTACCACATGTATGTTTATACTCGTTAGTCTTTTGGTACCTTATATACAGTTATACTGCTTATTGCTTGTGTAAGGTCTAGGACTTAAGATTAACTTCAGCCATTGATATGGATATGAACATGTAAATGTAATGCATTATTCAAGTCGAGCTGTGCAAATTGGCAGAGGAACATTATGGTTGTTTGATTGTTTACCTTTTTTCTGTTCTAGTTTTCTTTCACTTCTTTCCTTTAGGAATTTATACATATTTGTAATTACCTGTGTTAAATTTTCTATGGCAGGATTTTGAAAATCAGCTCCGCAAAGCACAAAGTATTCATGATGTGGGCTCAAGGTTTGATAGAGAAACTTCTGCTGATTCATTATCCACTGAGCAGAAGGACAAAACTTCTTATGGGCGCCAAGTTTCATCTGCATGGCCATTGCAGGAGTCACATAAAACAGATGGATTGCCTGGTGTTAATTTGAGCCATTCTGAGACCTATTCTGCAACTATTGGTGGGTTGCCTACTGGTTCAAGTTCTTCCCTTGCCAAGATAGGAATGCGACCACAAATGGGTTCATCCCATTTTTGAACCTCAAGTTTTGGGATTTTGGCAAATGTGGCATAAGGATTCACGAGTACTTTAGGACAACAGCGCTTTCAGTCGCAGGGAGCTACATCACCACCTGAACAGTCTCCTATACACCAACATTCACCTTCACCTTCACCTTCATTTCCTGCACACCAACCCCATCAACAGTTACAGAAATTGGCTGAGCAAGACTATCCACAACCTCATTCCCTGCATCGGACTGATCCAAAACCATCCCAATTTTCAGGAAAGTTGAATGTTGGGTCTCATAAACACTCTGCGCTGGGAGCAGCCTCAAAACTGGGAAATGCATCAGAGCATACCAATCCACTTGCTATTGAAACTTCAGAACTATCAAGTACAAGTAGTCTATTGGCTGCTGACATGAACAGTGGAGTCCTCTCCAACAATTCATTTACTGGCAGTCTTCCAAATAAGATTTCCCAAGATGTGGGGCAAATTCCATCACATTCTCCTCTTCCAAATGGGCCTCTGCCCCCTGTTTTTACAAACTCGGGCTTGAGGGTTGATACTGCAATTTCATCAGGTTCTGCATCCCATGATGCGATAGCAGCTATTACAAATAGTTCTCAGGGAAAGTAGAACTGCTGCCACCGCCTCCTGGGCCACCACCTTCATCTCTTGTTAGTGATGCTGTAGCGCAAGAATCAGATGTGGAAAACAAAGCTTCAAATCCAATATCCAACCTTTTGAGATTAGTTGCAAAAGGTTTGATATCTGCATCAAAGAAGGATGCTCCACCTCTACTGTCTCTTCAAGTGCCTATTCAAATGCAGAAGAAGAGCATGGGAGTGGTGTGTTCAACTGGATCACTGAACAAGAGCTCAGACATTTCAACCAGTAGCTCTTTGCCAGCTTCTTCCCTCCCAAGTTCATTGGATGCTTCTCTTTCCTCCACCGCGGATGAGGTATCATTTGCAGAACCTGCCACAAAAGTTTTAGTTGCCTTATGTTAGTCCACCTCAATGGAAGTAGAAAACCTCATAGGATTAGAATTTAGGCCAGATGTAATCAGAGAATGTCATTCATCTGTGATCAGTGAATTGTTGGATGACCTTCCGCATAGTTGCAGCTTATGTGGTCTTCGACTTAAGCTTCAGGAACGGCTCAATAGACACTTGGAGTGGCTTGCCAGGAAGAAGACTGAATCAATAGGTTCTGATAAGGCATTGAGGGGATGGTATACAAGGTCAGATGATTGGATTGCTGGAAAGCCAGGGCAATCGGTATTTGAATCCACTGGTTCTGTGAACCAGTTGGAAAAGACAACAGAAAAGGCTGAGCTTATGGTTCCTGCAGACGAAAATCAATATGCATGTGTGTTATGTGGTGAGCTATTTAAAGATTATTTTAGCCAGCACAGGGGCGAATGGACGTTTAAGGGAGCAGTGTACTTGACTATTCCATCAAAGGACGGTGAGGTTGGAACTACAGATGAGAGTGCAGCCATTGGTCCCATCGTGCATGCAAATTGTAGGTCAGAAAGTTCAGTTCATGACTTGGGATCGGCTGGTGGTATTAAAATGGTAAAGTCCTTTGTCTTTGAAGATGTTTACCATACTTTTGGATTATAGTTAAAATGTTTCTTCTCTATTTTCATTCATTCTCCCAGTGTTTGCCACCTGATCGTCACTCTCACTTCTTGTTAGGAAAAGGAAGAATAACGCCTTAAGGTGAAAAATCAAGCCATCAGTTGCTGTGCCATTAGTAGAACCTGATGAAAGAATCCAGGTTTACTTTTCCATAGCTTAAATGTCTAATGGTCCTTGTAAGCCAATTTTGGTGTGCCTTAGAAAGGTGCTGAGAGTAACTACTAGTTGTTCTTGCTCTCATTTTTCCCTTTTGTTTTTTCTTCTTTTGAATGGTCATAGCCTGATAGAAATACATGTAAAATACCATATAGTTTTTGCCTCACTTTTCTTCACTAATGCGTTTAATCTGCTGCATTATATTGTGTTTTGGGTTGGCTTGAAATTGGTAAAGGAGAAGGCGCTCAGGCCATGTCCATTCAGCTTCAAAATTGGCAAATTAGCAAGAGCCTGTTTATCATTGAATGTAATGAAGCCCTAAGGAAAATGCAAGACAGTGAGAAAGAAAGAAGAGATTTAATTTTCTTGTTCATTATTGTTCCATTTGTCAGCTTTTATCTTTCCTTACCTCCCGTTATGAGAGACGCGGTGTTTGACTTTGTTAGTTGTGAGCATTTGTTTCTCAAGTTGCAGTTCCTGTTGACTGTCCAAGGGACAAAATTTAGGAATCTGGTGGCTTCTTATTATGGTCGTCATCGTCTTTCTTTGCATCATTTGCGACCTATGAGTCCTATTAGGCTAAGGTATCGTGATCGTACTCCTAAAAACACTTCAACTTTGCAGTTTTGTTTGTTTATTATTATTATTATTATATCAACGAACGATAATTATGTTCAGTCACATTGCGTACGCTTTTTTTTTTCTTTTATACATATAAACTTTAAGCAAATAAATAATGACAAAAAAAGAGTAGATGCGCAATATCATTTTATCATGAAAGTCATTTTGCTTTTATATACCATGAAGCTTTTTTCTTCCTTTTTTAAATCTCTCTCTCTCTCTCTCTCTCTCTCTCATTTTATTCATTGACAAATTTGCTTAGACAATTTCTCCCTTTTTCACAAGCAATAATAATAAAAGGAAAAACATAAAATTTTAATCTAAAGTAAGATCTTAATAGCTAGTAAGGCTTCACTTTTAGGGGCCTTCTGTGTTATCGTCGTAAAAAAAAAAAGAATATTCGACCAATTTGCAAAAGTTTGACGGACACCCTTCCCCATCAGCCGTCACTAGACTGATGCGGTCATGAAACTTCGACATCTCAAATCTCAAACTCTCTGATATCAAAATTCATGGTGCTATGTGTATCATCATTCATCTTCCTTGCTTTTACACCATCAATTAACACCAAATTCCGTCACAGAAGAAAATTTTGTTAGCTTTGGTTAATTATGCACTTGCACGCTTGAATGTACAAAAAGAATATCTCAGCCTTTCTTCCAGTTTCCCGGTAGGATCTGTTTCCAATGAATAATTATAAGCTTGCCATTTCTTTTGACGTTTTATCGCAAGTCACATAAATTCATTCAACAACCAAACTTGAAACACATGAAATATTAATCATTACTTAAATCACATTCATTTATTTTACTAATCAGCATGGTTTATATTATATAATATAGTAGCAGTTACATTATTTTTTGTGTTTTCGGCCTTGGGACTTGGGCCTTGGGCCTTGGGCCTTGGTTTCATACAACTTCATAATTACACACAGTTTTCTCTTGATTGAGCATAAAAGGTACATATAGTACATAATTCCTTTAATTTGCATGAATTATCTAAGGCTTATGATGTTGAGTGTAGATGTAATCGAGATGAGCTTCTGCAATCATCCTTCTTTTCAGACATTCTTCATCTTTCTCATAGCACTCTTCTGATGATCCCATCAACTATGAAAAAAAAAAAACAAAAACACAACAACAACAAAATATTAGCCCATGTTAATGAGAAGAACAATAAGGATTTAACTAAAAAAGAGAAGAAAAGATGGAACTCTTACATTTGAGAAATCTTCCTTTGCATCTGTGAATAAACCAGCTTGAATCATCCCGTTTGCTTTAAACTGCTTTTCACCTGTTTACAATTTGACACATGATCATTTAGACCAAACCATGAAGGAAAAGTGAAAAGAAACTAAAAAGGTGCAAAAGGGTTTTGGTCAAAAACCTTGCTTCTGTGGCAGAAGACGAGCAGGTGTTGAGTAGGAGCAAAGAAGAAAAGCAAAGAGCAGAAAGGTGATAAACCCAACAATCTTTCGCTTCATATTCATTGCTTTCAGTTCTTCAATTCCTCTACTCGTTTTTAATTTTTCTTTTTTCTTTCTTTCTTTCTTTCTTTAAAGACAGAACTGGAGGGAGATAAGAAATAGTATGAAGCAGTGCAAGGCTAGTCTGTATAAATAGCGGCAGATGCTGAGATACTTTTAAGTCACATGTAGATCCTTTTTTCAACTCTCAACATAGTTAGCATGGACCCCTCATTAATTTGCTTCTGTGTTTAATCTTTTTCTCTTTTTAAAGCCTTTCTGTAAATGAAAAATATTGTCTTTGTTTGCATTTGGAATGGACGATGAAAAGGATATATTCAAAGACAAATCAAATAGCATTGCAGTCCCTAAATTTTGAATTTATATATCATTTTAGCTTTTATACTTTGAAAAGTTATTTGTTGGTCTTAATTATATTTCAGCCGCTGTAACGGATTGATCTTTATCATCTAATATCACATGTATAAAAGGAGAGTTGATATGTAACATAATAAGGGTTTATGAAAAAGTTTGAACTTCAGGCTTGAAAAGAGGCCTAAAAATGCTCTATATCGAAGGATCATCATGTGGGAATAAAGAAGACTAGGGAGAGCAACCACGGAATTGTATGCAAGTGGCCTTGTTTGTCATTGCTCTTTGTGGTGATGGGAGCGGGGACCCAATTTTCCAAAAATCAAAGTTGTGAACAATACTCAACAAAGAAGATGAAAAGCAAGAAAGTAAGAAAAGTAAGAAAAGGATAGAAATTCCCTGGTCCGGTGCCACTTTCTTCACCCTAGTAATTTTTTTTTTTTTTTCTAGAAGTGGGAAGAGGTTTGGGCTCAATTTCTTTTCTCATATATATCATTTTTTTGTGTGGAAAATAAAGTAGAAGAAGGGAATAAATAAGACTTACCAAAGCGTTAACAAATCAATCTGTGGAATCCTCCGATGCTACCACTACCCATTATTTGGCGGACAGCTGTTTCCATGTTTCACACTTTCCTTCGTAATTAGCACGCACGTGAAAAAGTTTTACTACTTTCCAGGTATAAATTTAGATTAAATTAGGAATTTTATGCTTATTTAAATTTCATCTTTCTTTTAACAAAATATATCATACTTTTGAGTTGCAATCTCTCTTATATAAAAAAATTACAAATCAAAGAAAAAAAATCATTTCGATCCACTATCTATAAAGCAGCCTGCTTGAGTTATCTCTCAAAAACATTGAAATATTGTAATTTTATAAGATTCCAAAGATGTGATGTTGTATAATCCTTATAATATTTCAATTAGAATTCAAGACTTATAATTTCCTTGCAAAAACAGATGACAGACAATAGGTCAATAGTTTTAGCTTCACCAACAAACTAGATATATATGAAGGATAAGATAAGTAGATAATGCTATTTATCTTTTAATTTATGGTCCTTAAAGTCAAGAAAATAATATTAAACAACAATAATTTTCAATTATAGCAAACCAATTTGTGGAAAAGAAGAAGACCAAAGTCCAAGTCCACTTGAACCCAAATTCCAAAGTTTGGATGAAGTTTTATATAATATCTTTGGGTAAAGGCACCGCTAAAAGAAGAGACAATAGTTTATACTGTGATTTAAATATATTAATAACTGATTTGTTCTATAGGGTGGGCTCTGTATCATGTTAATTGATTTTTTCCCCTTGAAATTGCAAAGGGACAGATCAAGATGACACGGAGAGAGATGATTTGGCGTCATTGTATTGTAACTCTGATGCGAAGAAATCGAAATAAGCTAAAGCTAGCCTAAATTTCAACGACAAAGTATCAGAAAAAGGAAACTCTAGTAGGTAGTACGATTGTCTAACGTCTATTTCTGTCTTTGGACTAGGCATTAGCATGACAAAGTCCATACGCACTAGGATTTCATGAATAATTGGTAGTAAATATTGCATAATTTTTCTCTAAATCAAGTAATGGCTGACGTAGTCTTTAAACTTTGAGGTTTGATTTCTTTTTTTTTTTTTTTACATATACTTAAAAAAAAAACAGCTGATATTTTATTGTTTTATGGAATAATGCCATTTCAAGTGAAACTAATCACACAAAGATCAACTCAATATTTTCTAGTGTTTGTTATCCATGGGATTCAAACCCATAATTTAAAACCACAAATTAACAATGAATTTCAATCTATGTGCATTGAAAAAAAAAAAGAAGCAAACACACATAGAGAGAGAGAAAGAGAGATGAAAAGTAACAAAGGAGATAGTAAATATCAATGTACAAACAATAGTTTGTATATATGTACCAATTGAATCAGTACATGTGATGTAAAATCTAAGGTTGTCAAACAAAATCTTGGTTATGTCCTGAATTTCATGATTATAAATCAAACCCATGCAATGCCTTTCAATGTTTGAATTTAATTTCAATAATTGAACTGCTAAAGCTGTATTATCAACTGTGTGAAAGCTCATTTGTTTGATGCTTTCACGAGTTGAAAATTTAGAATCATGATAACCTGGCTATAGGTTGAACCTAATCCTAATGCTTTTGCTTGAAGGGTATAAAAAACATAAAAAATAAAAAAGAAGAGTTGGAGGATTAGACGTTTTGGTGGCAAGTGGAGCTTTTTTTTGTCAATGAAAGGGAAAAAGTTTATAACCCCACTACTCAATTTTTTGGCTTTGCTTTATCCGTTGTCTCGTGTTCATCACCCCATACAGTGCTGATGTGAGAATTTTCCCAACTCCAATGCAATGGAATCTATAAATTAAAGAGAGCACGTTTTTAACTCAGGCCTGAACAAAATTATAGGGCCACCCCTATTACACATGTTTTTTCTCTTCTTCCTTGATTTCTAATGATGATAAATGAATTACGACTGAATTTTATCATTATTTTTTTTAAATGGACAAAATTCTTTTTGACAAACGACTATGATCAGAAACATCAACATCGGAACAATAAGCAGACTGATGGTAGAGTTGAAAATGTTGAACTACACTGATCAAATTCCAGTTCTTCATACTAAACCATCAATGAATCAAGGAAGGAGACATATCAGATAAAATCTTGACTGTTGCATGAATTGCACGTTACTTCTGTAGGCCTCTGCATTTGCGTATCTTTCATACATGTAATTCTAAATTATAGAATTTTTGTGCCAAAGTACTGCATTCTGATTCAAAATAATTTGTGAATCGTTATGAAGATATCATCTCTCTTTTTTATTAACACTTTCTCCATCTTTTCTATTATTTCTTAATTTCTTGTTGTAATATAGGATCTATACTATTATATATTGAGATTAAGATATCTAAAACAGGCATTTTATTTTTAAGTTGGAGGTGGGAATTTAAATTATTAATACTTTTCTTAAACTATCACTTCAATTATAAATTGAATTAAGGGTTTTTAGTATAAAAAGTTACAATTTGAGAATAAAAAAAGAAATTACAGGTACTTGTATTTTAATTTTAAATTTATTGTTTATCATATTTTAAATTAAGGTTTTTAAATATAATAATTTAAGAAGCTAGTTGTCATGTTTTAGTAATTAATAAATTATTTAATGGGAGACAACTTTTAATATTTGAAAAGAAATGCTTTTGAAATGGACTAGACGTGCAAATTGCATGTTATGCCTCCACCATCCGACACATTTTCTCAATTATTTCATTTCTTTCTTGTATGATTGAGGACTTTTCCTTGGTTATGACTTTGATGAGATTATTATAAGCTGAATGCATGAGCAAAAGAGGCATCTTTGACATGCTGAATATTGTTTCTATTCCTGGGCACAAAGGCAACAACATTAACCTTCTTATATAAATTTTATAACCTTGAAACTATTCAAACCCTTTATACATAAATACAAATAAATGTTTATGTATATGTATATATTTGTATGAATGTATGGATCATTAAACATAATGAGTTACAAGTCATACATATGATAACTATATCAAATTGAATGTACATTTGTAATAATTTAGAAAGGGGAAAAAAAGAAAAGGAATTGATATTACTTTCATAACTCAAAAATGTAATTTCATTAATTGAAAGTTGAAACTTTCTACAATAGAATGGGTATGTTTCTAATTCTAATCTAAGCTCTTCCCTCTTCCAACCTATATATACTCTACGACACCAATCATTTTTACACAAGAAAGTTAGTAATTTGACAACAATCTTTTCTAATTAACTACAAGGCTTTATTTTAAATGCCGATAAATATCATCATGCTGCAACATTGGACTTGGTTTAATATATAATTTGCCTGTTGGTTATTGAAAACCGGCCAACAGGTTCGTTTATAACCATATTCTAAGTTCCTAAATATCAGTTAATTAGGCAGATATTGTTCATCTGCATGCATATGCATACCAATATGTCGTTGAGATGAATTTATTGCCCCCTCTAATTTACATTCCAACAAAATGAGAGGCAACATGTACTGTGATTGATCATTAGCTTTGTATGTCAAAAAAGCTAAAAGAAACTGGCTGTAATGGCAAAATCTAGGTGATGTTATAGCCATCCAATGTTGTAGGTTTTGACCTCTAGTAGACTAAAATTTACAGCAAATAATAGTTTTTTCTGCTTTTCCCTTGAGCTGGTTAGGTCAAATTGAAGATTGTATATATAAGGAAATTAAAGGGCATTTCCTATATGCAAGTTGCAGGGCATAGGTTAGAGATTGAGAGTCAATTAAGCCCCGGCTAGGTGAAACTTTTTAGCTAGTAATTAGTTTAAGGCCACTTGACATCATATATATGGAGGAATGTGGTGTCTCATCTTTCAATTGTATATTTTGCAAACGCCTTTTGTAAATAAAAGAAGTTTGGATGAAAATAAAAAAGTACTTTCGTTATTCAAATTGATCAATTTTGGTACTCCATTGGTTAAAATGTTTCAAAAATAAGACAAAAAATTTTCTTTGGTTAAAGTGTTTTAGAGAGCATTTATTCTCATCAAGTTGAGATGGCCGAGTTGGTCTAAGGCGCCAGATTAAGGTTCTGGTCCGAAAGGGCGTGGGTTCAAATCCCACTCTCAACATTCTCTTTTTTTTCCATTTTTTTTTTAATATTAGGAAAAAGAAGGAAAAGA